CTCTCCCTCCCTCCCCCCTCTCTCTTTCTCCCTCCCTCCCCTCTCTCTCTCTCCCTCCCTCCCCCTCTCTCTCTCTCCCTCCCCCCCCTCTCTCTCCCTCCCTCCTTCCCCCTCTCCCTCCGTATAGAGAGAGACGGGGGTGCATCCCTTGCACAATTGCAACAAATACAAAAACACCTTTATACATAGTTTTTATTTTGTATATGCCTACGAAGCATATACATTGACCGTAAATTATTACATTTATCATATTGTATAAGAAGCAATTCTCTTAATATGTGATAGTAGCAACAGGTATACACACTGTGAATAATTATATGTCGGAAGTGTAATGTCTTGATACCTGATACCCACCCACCTGTCTGGTGCTGTGTAGGTCAGCCAGGAGGGTGTTGATGAAGCAGGTCAATACACCCACCTGTCTGGTGCTGTGTAGGTCAGCCAGGAGGGTGTTGATGAAGCAGGTCAATACACCCACCTGTCTGGTGCTGTGTAGGTCAGCCAGGAGGGTGTTGATGAAGCAGGTCAATACACCCTGTCTGGTGCTGTGTAGGTCAGCCAGGAGGGTGTTGATGAAGCAGGTCAATACACCCACCTGTCTGGTGCTGTGTAGGTCAGCCAGGAGGGTGTTGATGAAGCAGATCAATACACCCACCTGTCTGGTGCTGTGTAGGTTAGCCAGGAGGGTGTTGATGAAGCAGGTCAATACACCCACCTGTCTGGTGCTGTGTAGGTCAACCAGGAGGGTGTTGATGAAGCAGGTCAATACACCCACCTGTCTGGTGCTGTGTAGGTCAGCCAGGAGGGTGTTGATGAAGCAGGTCAATACACCCACCTGTCTGGTGCTGTGTAGGTCAACCAGGAGGGTGTTGATGAAGCAGGTCAATACACCCACCTGTCTGGTGCTGTGTAGGTTAGCCAGGAGGGTGTTGATGAAGCAGGTCAATACACCCACCTGTCTGGTGCTGTGTAGGTTAGCCAGGAGGGTGTTGATGAAGCAGGTCAATACACCCACCTGTCTGGTGCTGTGTAGGTCAACCAGGAGGGTGTTGATGAAGCAGGTCAATACACCCACCTGTCTGGTGCTGTGTAGGTCAGCCAGGAGGGTGTTGATGAAGCAGATCAATACACCCACCTGTCTGGTGCTGTGTAGGTTAGCCAGGAGGGTGTTGATGAAGCAGGTCAATACACCCACCTGTCTGGTGCTGTGTAGGTTAGCCAGGAGGGTGTTGATGAAGCAGGTCAATACACCCACCTGTCTGGTGCTGTGTAGGTCAACCAGGAAGGTGTTGATGAAGCAGATCAATACACCCACCTGTCTGGTGCTGTGTAGGTCAGCCAGGAGGGTGTTGATGAAGCAGGTCAATACACCCACCTGTCTGGTGCTGTGTAGGTCAACCAGGAGGGTGTTGATGAAGCAGGTCAATACACCACCTGTCTGGTGCTGTGTAGGTCAGCCAGGAGGGTGTTGATGAAGCAGATCAATACACCCACCTGTCTGGTGCTGTGTAGGTTAGCCAGGAGGGTGTTGATGAAGCAGGTCAATACACCCACCTGTCTGGTGCTGTGTAGGTCAGCCAGGAGGGTGTTGATGAAGCAGATCAATACACCCACCTGTCTGGTGCTGTGTAGGTTAGCCAGGAGGGTGTTGATGAAGCAGGTCAATACACCCACCTGTCTGGTGCTGTGTAGGTCAACCAGGAAGGTGTTGATGAAGCAGATCAATACACCCACCTGTCTGGTGCTGTGTAGGTCAGCCAAGAGGGTGTTGATGAAGCAGGTCAATACACCCACCTGTCTGGTGCTGTGTAGGTCAACCAGGAGGGTGTTGATGAAGCAGGTCAATACACCCACCTGTCTGGTGCTGTGTAGGTCAGCCAGGAGGGTGTTGAGGAAGCAGATCAATACACCCACCTGTCTGGTGCTGTGTAGGTCAACCAGGAGGGTGTTGATGAAGCAGGTCAATACACCCACCTGTCTGGTGCTGTGTAGGTCAGCCAGGAGGGTGTTGATGAAGCAGATCAATACACCCACCTGTCTGGTGCTGTGTAGGTTAGCCAGGAGGGTGTTGATGAAGCAGGTCAATACACCCACTGTCTGGTGCTGTGTAGGTCAACCAGGAAGGTGTTGATGAAGCAGATCAATACACCCACCTGTCTGGTGCTGTGTAGGTCAGCCAAGAGGGTGTTGATGAAGCAGGTCAATACACCCACCTGTCTGGTGCTGTGTAGGTCAACCAGGAGGGTGTTGATGAAGCAGGTCAATACACCCACCTGTCTGGTGCTGTGTAGGTCAGCCAGGAGGGTGTTGAGGAAGCAGATCAATACACCCACCTGTCTGGTGCTGTGTAGGTCAACCAGGAGGGTGTTGATGAAGCAGGTCAATACACCCACCTGTCTGGTGCTGTGTAGGTCAGCCAGGAGGGTGTTGATGAAGCAGGTCAATACACCCACCTGTCTGGTGCTGTGTAGGTCAACGAGGAAGGTGTTGATGAAGCAGATCAATACACCCACCTGTCTGGTGCTGTGTAGGTCAACGAGGAAGGTGTTGATGAAGCAGGTCAATACACCTACCTGTCTGGTGCTGTGTAGGTCAACCAGGAGGGTGTTGAGGAAGCAGATCAATACACCAACCTGTCTGGTGCTGTGTAGGTCAGCCAGGAGGGTGTTGAGGAAGCAGATCAATACACCCACCTGTCTGGTGCTGTGTAGGTCAACCAAGAGGGTGCTGAGGAAGCAGATCAATACACCCACCTGTCTGGTGCTGTGTAGATCAACCAGGAAGGTGTTGAGGAAGCAGATCAATACACCCACCTGTCTGGTGCTGTGTAGGTCAACCAAGAGGGTGCTGAGGAAGCAGATCAATACACCCACCTGTCTGGTGCTGTGTAGATCAACCAAGAGGGTGCTGAGGAAGCAGATCAATACACCCACCTGTCTGGTGCTGTGTAGGTCAACCAAGAGGGTGCTGAGGAAGCAGATCAATACACCCACCTGTCTGGTGCTGTGTAGATCAACCAGGAAGGTGTTGAGGAAGCAGATCAATACACCCACCTGTCTGGTGCTGTGTAGGTCAACCAAGAGGGTGCTGAGGAAGCAGGTCTCCTTCAGGAAAGTCGCAAGTTTGACTACTAGGTTAAAGCGTTCCTCGGTTTCTGCGAGGTATATCAAAAGTAGTGTTCGTCTGTTGGTCTTCTGCAGGTTATGGTAAAATGCTGTCCAAGGAATAAAATTAAATAAATAAAAACGGTTGATTTTAAACTTATGAGCCAATATTTTTAGTATTATAACAACAAATTAATTCAGCCCCAACTTAGATTTGACACATGTGCATTTTAATTTAAAAAAAAATATAAATGCAAAATAAGCAATAACACATTTGCAATAAATTTAACTTGTCTAGACACTATATTGTAATGTAGTTATCTGTACCATAATAATCATGTATACAAGGAACAGGCAATGTTAATTTATTCTCAGTAATGACTGTTATGTTATACTACCCACTCACCCAATTTTAGTTCTTAAGACCTACAACTTCACCAGTATAATCAATACTTTATATTTACACTGTAGTTATTATGTTGAATTCTGCTACAATGTACTTAATAATACTCTTACTGTTATCTGCTAGATTAAGGAACTCCCCAAAATGCTATGCGTGTTAGTGGCACAAGATTACAATGTCACACCAAATATGAACAATGAGTGCATGCAAAGTGCAATTAATTCACCTTTGCGCATGTGCTGCAAATAATAGCAGGCCAGATACATGGTGACAATGATCAGCAAGACACCAGTCACTGTAACAAGAGTGTTAACTAACACAATATTCTGCTTGACATCTGGAAATAGAAGAAAGAGAACTACGCATAAAAACACAGCATGGGATGTAATGAAACGCCAATTTCTGTCAATTGAGATAGGTCAATTTCTTAGCCTATCAACCTATACCATTGATAGGTTAAGTAATAACTGTAAATAAGAAGCAATAAGATGCTTATCTTAACATACTAAGAAGGTTAGGTGCGGTCGGTGTTTTCTATGAAACTTTTCAAGGTAAACTAAAATATTCACAATCAATTAGGATGTCACATATGCACTTATTAAATAAGCCAGTATTGACTGAAGCAAGTGCGTGAACGGGTTGCACGTGTTCCAGCAGGTTCTAGATGACGCCGTTGCCCAACCACGCTACCGTTCATTGTTACAGCTAAGCCGCTGATCTTACGTTAATTTACTATTAACTACTTGTGAATCGTTGAGATTTAATAATATCTCGAATTTATATTTCATTTACGTGAGCTAAGAATTTAATCATATTTCTTATAGCCTTAAGAACTTTAGATAGGAACAATTTTCTTATCTAACATAATATGATCTTGTCATTAACCAAATTATTGAATATTTATACAAATTATATTTCTTAGTAGAATTTACTAATTTCTTTCGAGGAAGAACCAGCCTCGATTAAGTGTACTAGGAGTAATTCAACTTCTAGTATTAATCCCCAATTGTGAAGTTTGTGAAGGTTTAACTCTTGAATAATAATTATTCTTACAGTCCATTAATGTCCAACAAATAATTTTTGATGATTACATTATCCACAGACACTGGGATCTCAGTCCATTTTATTGCACTAGTTATCTGTTTCCCTTTTCAGGGAAACTTTTCCCCTTTTCAGAGTTTCCCTTTTCAGGGTCCTTCGAGTAATTCAACTCAATCAATTAAATATCAATATATTAAGAGTTAGCTTTATTTCACGACACTAATTGTCTAATTGTACTTACCTAATTGTGCTTGCGGGGGTTGAGTTCTTGCTCTTTGGTCCCGCCTTTCAAAGGTCAATCAACTAATGTACAGGTTCCTGAGCCTACTGGGCTCTATTATATCTACACTTGAAGCTGTGTATGGAGTCAGCCTCCACCACATCACTTCCTAATGCATTCCATTTGTCTACTACTCTGACACTTTAAAAAATCTTTCTAACGTCTCTATGGCTCATTTGGGCACTCAATTTCCACCTGTGTCCCCTAGTGCGTGTGCCTCTTGTGGTAAATAGTCTGTCTTTATCTACCCTATCAATTCCACTGAGAATCTTGTATGTGGTGATCATGTTCCCTCTAACTCTTCTGTCTCCCAGTGACGTGAGGTTTAATTCCCATAGTCTCTCCTCGTAGCTCATACCCCTCAGTTCGGATACTAGTCTGGTGGGAAACCTTTGAATTTTTTTCAGTTTAGTCTCATGCTTGACTAGATATGGACTCCATGATGGAGCCGCATACGGCTCAAGCATGTATGCCATAAGTAATGCAATCTTCCCCGAGACCTGTTGCTCTGCCTTATGTAGAGCAGAGTCTAGTTTGTATTCAGTATAAAACATGTCAAAGTCATCCTCCTGATGAAGCATGAAGTCAAGGAGCCTTTTTCTAACATCATATCTATTATTTAATTCATTGTGTGGGTAGAGGAAGACTCTAAGCTGGAAGTTGTGGCCCAAGCATCAACTACAGTCTCCGTGGTGTAGTGGTAAGACACTCGCCTGGCGTTCCGCGAGCGCTATGTCATGGGTTCGTATCCTGGCCGGGGAGGATTTACTGGGCGCAATTCCTTAACTGTAGCCTCTGTTTAACGCAACAGTAAAATGTGTACTTGGATGAAAAAACGATTCTTCGCGGCAGGGGATCGTATTCCAGGGACCATAGGATTAAGGACTTGCCCGAAACGCTACGCGTACTAGTGGCTGTACAAGAATGTAACAACTCTTCTATATATCTCAAAAAAACTAGCTCATTTGCTCTGTGCAGGGGATTAGGGTCTGAGATCTGTGAAGTACTGGAGGCAAATGTGTGGCATTGGTAATATGCTGTGAAATGTCCCTATTCTTATACTATAGTGGAATAGATAATATATATTAACTGGACATCATATAAATCTACATAATGCTTACTTTAAATGTGCAAATAACTAGGCTATCCATCCTTAGCTGGAACATTGCATCCATAAAAAAAAAGCTTCTCTGACTTGCATCACAAAGTAACAACTGAACACATCTATATTGTATGTCTCCAGGAGTGGAGAGTTTTCACAAGATCCTAAGCCCCGAAATTGCCCTCATTTGTGTCTTACAACCTCCGCTGCAATAACTCTTGCATTCTATACATCAAACAATTCCCACCCACCCCATCAACTTCTACCAGAAAAACAAATTGAGGGTCAACAATATCATAGAGTGAAGACCTGTGTGGGCAACTTCATCTTCAATGTATTTAATCTATATGCTCCAGCAGGAAAGTTAAAATACATTGATCTTCCAGCATGCACACAAGCAGAGCCAACCATCATTCTTGGTGACTACAATGCTAGACAGGGATATTGGTGACTCCGCTTCAGTAACGGGAATGGGAATAAACTGCTGTCGCTACTAAATAGTTCTGAAAATGTACAGATTGTAGGGTGACCTTGAACAAACGCATATTTCTGGAGGTATTCTAGATCTCTGTGTTGGTTTCAACGTCTCACACGTATGAGTATCATCTATTGTAACGGATTTGTTATCAGATTATAACCCTAGATTGATTATTGTAAGTATCGAAAATACCATTCTGCCCGTTGGGAATTTTTAACGTAAACGACTCAGTGCTCTATGTGCTTCTCGTGAAGAATTTGTTAATCATGTGTCAGAGTGAAACAATACTTATTTGTCTGAATTTACCTGAGGGCCACTAAGTAACTACGACGCTTCCTCTCCAGTCTATTTTTCAGCTATCTCCACTTCCCCACTCGCCCATTTGGGTTCCTTATTCTGTCTTCTTCGCAATTCGTGCAGTTTGCATGAAGGTATTTCCTCCTGAAGATTTCACGAGTGGTAATGCAGAAAGATGCAGCACACACAGCGGCACATCAATGGTCAAGATGTGGCAGAGGAGGGAAGATACCAACGTCTTCTATGTGGGTGAGGATAAAAGCAGACGAGAGGAAAGGGACTCAGGGCAGGAAGGATGAGAAGTCGCAAGAAAGGTGAAAGCAAAGTGTCCCCGAACTATAGAAAGTGTGGGACACAGGCAAGAGACGGAGGAGGGGAGGTGAAGGATAAATAGGAGGAAATCGCTTATCATATCTGAGAAAGGAAGGAAAGTGTGAGCACATAAAGAATCATGGGAAGAACGTGTAGAGAAGGAAAATCAGGTCGTGACCGGGTAAGATGGAGTCGGAATCCAGAGCGTTACGTATGGGACACAAGTGCATTAGTCTTCTTAAACGTGCCAGGCAGACAGCATGAGGAAGACCTGTGAGTAGGGCGAGGATGCGTCGCGGGAAAGCGAGATGGATTTGGTTTGTCAGGCAAAGTGGCAGGGCGCTTGGAAGTAGGGACAGCTGAAGATTGCTTCCTCGTAATGCCGGGGGTCGGGGTTTGCAGCAAGTCAGCCCGGGGAGCGATTTGAGAGAACATGCCAAGGAGTTCTGGAAGGTGGTGTCCAGCATCAGTTCAAACGTCTCTGAGACAGTAAAGGTAGCCGCGGGAGGGTGGACGTCAAGCATAGGAGATGCAGAGGAAGGATACGATGGGGTCAGCCTCAGGAATGGCTCTGACGGAGTGTAGAAATAGTTTATCCAGAAGGCGGTCCAGCATCTTCTTGAGTGCATCCGTAATGCGAGTGACAAGCGTGTCAATAAGATCGAGACTCAGTTGAATGGTTTGTAGGAGAGGATGAGACTCAGGGGCCACAGGAACGTCAGTGACAGACAGATCAGGCACAAGCAAAGGGGGGAGTGTGATGAAGAGATTGAAGACGGACAGAGTTAGGTCGGTGGAGAGCACGACTGTGTTGCATGTTGAGGGCCTGAGATTGTATACTGAGATTCCCCCCAGCTGTATTGTGCGGAGAGCCTGGGATTGCACTGCTACATACGAAGGACAATGTCGGAATGTAATGTCATAAGCACCACCACCACAGTTCGAGCAGCAGAGTACATCTGATGCAGTCATGTATGTAATGTGAACCAGAGCATTTGCCACATTTGATGTCGTTGGTGCAGCCTGTTACGTACCCCTATAAGATACGTAAGTAAATAAATTAAATTGTACATTTATAATTGTGTGTAAATTACAAGTATGTATATTGATATACTTATATGTTCTATGCAAAAGTAATTTCATGTTACAGGGTTGGCGTTAGGCCCAACGTATCGTGGGAATGATTGTTTTATTTCTTTGTGTGCTCAGTTTTCCCACGGGAACTAATGATTTATATGTGATCATATGTGGGTAACAGAGGTGAATAATAATTGAGTGAACTGTATCTGGCAAATTGTCGTGGGATCGTCCGTTGCTGGGTGAGCATGCCATTATTCCCCTCTGTATGCGTATTTTAATTACTACGTAAAGAAATAATTACCTTATTTTTGTATATCAATATGTATTAATGATTCATTAAGTTAGTTTAAGATTACTCTTGTCACAATGTATTGCTCCATTGTTGAAATAATAAATATTGTAACTTTGGCAAATTGTTCGCGGGGCAAGGCAATGTTTTTGACTTCCGCGTTATTGTTATTCAGTAGCTGATCCGGAACCAGAGAGTTAGCATCTTGTGGAGTTAAGTTATACATTTTTGTTCTGTCATAGCCATACATATAATAATATTAATTTAATGTCTGGAAGATACAGTGATATTTTTAATGTGATATATTGTGACCAAATAATCATCTGTTTGCTATTGAGATTTATGTAATATATATCTATATAAGATTTTATATCTATTCTTTCAGTCCTAAAGGAAGATTTTTATTTACGTGCTCATTACTTATCAAGGGGTTATACTGGTGACCCGCTCTTGTGAAC